TAGAGGAGTACTCAAAACTTCTGCTCGAAATAAAATTCCTTATACCACCAGGCTTTAAATTTTAGGTCTGGATAGCCTCGAACTACGCCGTCTACCTTCCGACCTATGCTTAGTTCATAAGATTATTTACCAAAAAGTCCTACCTGTAAATGAGTACTTTAATTTCAACTGTAATAACACAAGGGCTATCAATAGATTCAAACTTAATGTAATTCACTCTAATCTTGATTGTAGAAAATATGACTTCTGCAATAAAGTAGTAAATGTCTGGAACACTCTATCTGATCCAGTTGTTAGTCTCTCTAATCCCCATACCTTTTACCTTAAACTGTCTACTGTGTACCTTTCATGTTTCTTAAGAGGTCCCTAAGGGGGGCGTGCATAACCGCACCAGCATGCCTACCATCCCTGTCCTACTGTCCCCATTTATATGTAATCATTCTATGTGTTTATGGCTATGTTTTGCCCATTTATATACTTTTATTTGTGCCAATTTTTTTTCATGTTTTTTCATGTCTATATCTATACTGTTACTTGTTTCCTTGTACTTGTTGATAAACAAACAAACAAACAAACAAACAAATATTAAAGTTGTTGCCCTGGTTACCAGTAGGCTTCTTGGCTCATTCAAAGTTTTGGTTTTAATGGTTCTTCTCCTATATAATATCACTTCAGCATATTCAGGCAACCCCATGCCACCCTGCCATCTGGTCTGCTATGGAGAAGTGGCCTGCTGAAAGTTCTTTCTCTTCATGAAGTGAGCAGAGGTTGGGTGAGATGCAAGACCTTCTCTGAAGGAGCTACCATCTCATGGAGTACTATCCTCCCAGAAATACAAGCAGCCCCCAACTTGTTGCAATTCCATAAACAAATGAAAGCTGTTTTATTTCAAAATTGCCCTTGGTTCCAGCTAACCGACCGCAAGCATCTCTTACTTTTTAATTTAGTTTTCTTTTGTGGTTAACTTTTGATATTGCTTTTCAACTAGTTATCATATTTTAAGTTCTTTTTATTTGATATTGTGCACTACCCAGAGTTCTTTGGGATTGGTATGAGTTGTAAATTGTGTGCAATAAATAAATAATTAAATTCATATAAGTGACATGGTTATATGCTATACCTTTAAAATTGAACTATTTCTTTGCTTATTTAATTTGATTTATATGGCTGCCCGTCTTCCGAAGTGACTCTGTATAATGAACAAGATGAAAACATCAATATAATAACAAGTAATAAAAATCATTTAAAAATAATAATAAAATTAGAAGAATGAAGAATGCCAATCAGGGATAAACACATCTTTGATAAAGTATTTAATTTATCTATTTAAATCCCATCTTTATTATTTTTATAGATAACTCAAGGCAGCAAACATACACATTACTTCCTCCTAATTTCCCCCTCAACAACAACCCTGTGATGTGGTTTTGGGATAAGAAAGAGTGACTGGCCCAAAGTCATCAGGCTGGCTTTCATGCCTCAGGCAGAATTAGAACTCACATTCTTTCCCATTTCCTCTGCCTAACAGAAAGTTTAAAACACTTTTGGAAAGGCCAGCAGAGTTCGGGCAGATTTAATCTTCAAAGGGCTGGTGTTATCATTAATTTGTAAGAGTCACATTATAGAGATGGGTAGCATAAAAAAATTATAAATAAAACAAGTAAAAATGCCCCTCCTGCTAGACTGGATAGAGTGGGCAGTAACAATCAGAGAGAGGCAATCCCTCAAATATTCTGGCCTCATGCCACAAAAATGGAATCCTACAGAAAACCAGTAGTTTGTAAAGCAAGGATGTTACATGGGCATACCAAGGTTCAGTCATAATTGTGTGTGTTGCTCCTGCCCATTCTAAATCATGAGTGTACAATCTTTTGGTTTCCCTGGGCTGCATTGAGTAAGAGGAATTATCTTCGGCTGTATATAAAATATACAATATAGTTTAATGTATATATATCACATAAGGTCAAAAGTTTACAATCTTGTGGGGCCACAATACTAGCTATGCAGGGCTGCATGTAGTCCATGGGCTGGGTTGGACACGCCTGTTCTAAACCAACTTCCAGATGCTTTTTATAGGCAGCACCATATGGAATGCATGGCCATAATTCACTCAGGAAATAACGGAAGTGTCAATAATTATACACAGTGTCTCCTGATTCAGATAGGGGCACAATTAATACCCAACATGAAGTTGTGTAAAAGTCACAGCTACCACCTCATGCATAGCTGGGTATCATCAGCATCACTTTAAGTATAGATTGTATACATAAAATGCAGCAATGATGACCTAGGACTAAAGTAAATACTAGAATAGCAATATCTTGGCTCAGCAATGTACTATCTTCTCACGAGAAGTAAATACTTTTGGCAAGCTTATTGGCTTGGTAAGATAGATACCAAGGTAAGGTAAATGTAAGATAGATACCTTGGTAAGGTAAATGTTCAGGTCAAACGGTATTGCCATGGAATCCTCAAAATATGGAATCAATATGGAACCAAAATGACAATATTTTACTATCCTGTCTCAAATTTAATTTCATTGTGGTAGGGGAGAGAAAGATGGAATCCAAATATAATTATTGTGTTGTTGTATCTATTAATTTTGTTTATTTAACACATGTACTTACAATTGTAAGTACATGTGTTAATTCTCCTTGACAATGTCAAGGAGAAAAAGATAAACTACATCCACATGCACTGAACTTGCAAACATTTTAGCTTAGTACATTGTATGGTGAGATTGTGCATATAGTTTATGGTCCAATAGGTCAAATTGGCTTAAGTAAATCACAGGGTTTTGCTGGAATGCTTTTAACCTGGTCAGAACATCCGTTCTGAAGTTGTCTGGCCCCAGGTGAGGTGAGAAAAAAATGGAATAGGTTGAGAGGCGGATGGAAAAAGAATGCAGTTAGCTCCATTCATACAAAAGTAATTTCCTGTAAAATTTGCAAAGGCCTTGCTTTGACCTATACCTGAATAATTAGAAGGACATTTTTTTCTTTACTCTATTAGCAGCCAAAGGTCATGCATTTCCTGAGAACTATTATCTTAGATTTTCAAAAGTAATTTTCAAATGACTGTACCTGGTTTCTCATTCAGGAATCATGATCATAAAAAAGATCTGCTGTGACTCAGTTCCGAGACAGATCTCGTCCTCTCCCCGCCCTCCACAAACCATTTACTAAGTGATGCATGAAAAGAATTTTCAAAAACTTTTCCATGGCAAAATGTATTCATTTGTATGGGTGGCAATGAAGTAAACTCTTTGACAAGTTCTGTAGATCCCTAACCTTGCTTGCTTCATAGAGAACAAGTGCTTCTCCAGCTCCACTCAAAATGCTAGTTAGTCATCTTCCTATTTCTTCTACTGCTACCCAATTTGACAGGCCTCTATTCTCCTAACCTCCTCTAAAGCTGAAGACCTGGCTACCACAAATTTAAATCCTGTTCATTACTCTTGTCTATAAGTTGGGTAATTGAACATTATAAGTTTGACTTAGTGCCAGGTCTTTGTAATTTTTAATATTTTAATGTGGTTAGTTTTATAGCTTTAAATTCTATTATTCTATTCTATTCTATTCTATTCTATTCTATTCTATTCTATTCTATTCTTAATTTTATGTTGTTTTAAATTTTTGATTGAGAGCCACCCAGAATTGGTAAAAGATGGATGATTATATAAAGGTTTTGAACAGACAGACTGAGCTGGATTTTCCCATTAAAAGAAGGGTGGTGATCCTGTGATGGGAAGAAAATTTTGTTTCTGGTCTCCCTCTATCTGGCCACATTTAAAAATAATGTTGCCCTGAAAATGGGCTATTAGTCCAACCCATGGGTGGGGGAAAAGTTTCAATTAGGGCTAACGATAAGCTAGTTACAGTAGCAGAAGACAGAGTTGGAAGGAATCTTGGAGGTCTTCTAGTCCAACCCTGCTCAACCAGGGGACCCTATACATTTTCAGACAAGTGGCTGTCCTGTCTCTTCTTAAAAAGCTCCAGTGATTAAGCACCCACAATTTCTGAAGGCAAGCCGTTCCACTGGTTAATTGTCTTCACTGGCAGGAAATTTCTCCTTAGTTCTACCCGTGTTTCCCTGAAAATAAGATCCTGTCTTATATTTTTTTGAACCCTGAAATAAGCGCTTGGCCTTATTGCCATGTGCTCAAAAGCCCGATTGGGGCTTATTATCAGGGGATGTCTTCTTTTGGGGGAAACAGGGTAGGTTGCTTCTCTCTTTAAGAGCTGAAGAAGCTTCTTGGATGAGAAGCAAAATGTCTTCAAAGAAAAAAAACAACCAGAAAGTCCAGTTGCCTCTTGAAAAAGCATATTTGGGACAACCATGACCTGGATGACTGGCTGACCAACAGACAACCGCGACCTCCCTAAGATTTCTCTCTTTAATGAGCCTATCGCCTATCCACTAGTGCAGGAGTGGGCAAATGTGACCCTTTTACAACCTGTGGACTTCAACTCCCAGAATTCCTGAGACAGCAAGCTGTCTCAGGAATTCTGGGAGTTGAAGTCCACAGGTTGTAAAAGGGTCACATTTGCCCACTCCTGCACTAGCGTTAATTTCTAGCACAAGAGGAAAAGGGACCGGCAGAAGATCAGTATAACTTCCTTTAAATTTAAGATGCAAAATGCCGCAGCGACTAAACTTTTAAGGAGGGGTGGGGAAGGCCATTTCACGTCACACTCGCGCACCTAAATCAAGACAAGCCACGCACGCGCGTGTTAAACATTCGGCATCTCTGGCAGCAACCGTCCCTCAGGCAAGAGCGTAGACAGCCGGCTGAGGGTGCGTGACGTCACCCGGAGGACCTCGCTTCACGGGAAGTCGGAAGTCGCCGGTGTTGCTGACGTGTGCAGAGGCGCTCCGATGATCCAGAGGAGTGTGGCGGATGAAGAGCCGGCATGGAGGTCCTTTACCATCAGACCAACAAGTGGGTGTGCGAGGGAAGCTCTCCGGAGCTGGGAAGAAAGGCGGGAATAAGCTGGGAGAAGCTCAGGGAAGGCTTTGGAGGAGGAAAGGAGAGGGAGGCGGGGAGCAGAAAGGCAAAAGGAGGACAGGAGGCACCGGCGCGAAGAGCCACGTTTTTATAAAACTCCTCGGCGTTTACGCAACGTATCTCATCTCCACCATCTTACAACCTTCCCCCGTAGGAATGGGGGACCCAGGACCTTCAGATGTTCTGGATTGCATCGCTCGGTATCTATCTATCTATCTTATCTATCTTCATCATCATCTATCTACCTACCTACCTACCTCTATCTCTGTCTGTCTATCTATCTACCTACCACCCTCCCTCCCTCCCTACCCCTGTCTATCTCTGGCTGGCTGGCTGGCTGGCTACCTATCTCTATCTACCTACCTAACTATGTACGTCTGTCTGTCTGTCTGTCTGTCTGTCTATCTATCTATTTATCTATCTATCTATCTATCTATCTATCTATCTATCTATCATCTACCTACCTACCTCTGTCTATCTCTGTCTGTCTGTCTGTCTGTCTATCTATCTACCTATGTATGTATCTCTATCTGTCTATCTATCTATCATCTATCTATCTATCATCTATCTACCTACCTATCTACCTACCTCTGTTTGTCTACCTACCTACCTACCTCTGTCTATCTCTGTCTGTCTGTCTGTCTGTCTGTCTGGCTATCTACTTATCTACCTACCAACCTACTTCTATCTATCTCTGTCTACCTACCTAACTACGTACATACGTACGTCTGTCTGTCTATCTATCTATCTATCTATCATCTACCTACCTACCTACCTACCTCTGTCTGTCTCTGTCTGTCTGTCTATCTATCTATCTACCTATGTATGTATGTATGTATCTCTGTCTATCTATCTATCATCTATCTATCATCTATCTATCTACTTACCTATCTACCTACCTCTGTCTGTCTGTCTACCTACCTACCTCTATCTCTGTCTGTCTGTCTACCTACCTACCTCTGTCTATCTCTGTGTCTGTCTGTCTATCTACCTACCTCTATCTCTGTCTGTCTGTCTACCTACCTGTCTGTCTGTCTGTCTGTCTGTATCTCTAACTATCTATCTATCTATCTGTCTGTCTGTCTATCCATCCATCCATCCATCCATCCATCCATCCATCCATCCCCTGTGGGGCTGCGGGGCAGTAATTCACATCCGCTGCTGCTTTGCTCAAATTTTAGGGGGGAAACTCTTCTGGATAAGAAGCTGAACAACAGGCAGCTTCCTGAAAGCCAGTTCCTGAATTTAAGAGGGATTTCAGTTCGAGTAAATGCTGTCTTGTTTAACTAATCCAGGGGTGGGCAAATGTGGCCCTTTTACAACCTGTGGACTTCAACTCCCAGAATTCCCAGCCAAGCTGTCTCCGCTTCTGCCAAGCTGTCTCAGGAATTCTGGGAGTTGAAGTCCACAGATTGTAAAAGGGCCACATTTGCCCACCCCTGAACTAACCAATGAGAGAACCTTGTTGCTTAATTTGATTTAGTCTAATAATAGGAATAAAACTCACTTGGATGTAGAAGACAAGAGAAGATAATTCTTTATTGGCCAAATGTGATTGGACACACAAGGAATTTGTCTTTGGTGTATATGCTCTCAGTGTCCATAAAAAGAAAAGGTACATTCGTCAAGAATCATAAGGTACAACACTTAATGATAGTCATAGGGAACAAATAAGCAATCAAATCATGTTGGGAAACAGTCAGTGTAAACCGTAAGGATACCAGCAAAAGTACAAAATGTACAAAAAAAATGTACAAAAGCTTTGACTGATCATGCTGAAATAGTGGACCAGTACAAAATATTAATTGCAAAAAAAACTCTTTTTTTAAAAAGGAAGGCTTTGTTTATGTTTATTTCATATTGTTACAATTGAACAACACCAGTAGTGGGTTTCAAACCCTATTGCTACTGGTTTGCTTGTGGGTGCATGTGATGCGCAAAGACATATGGGTGGGGCCTCCCACCGCTGCCGCTACCGCTTTGCCCAATGGCGAACTGGTAGCAACCCACCACTGAACAACACATACAATACAGTTCAATCAAAAAAATAACCAATAACAGGAGCTACCCTGAAGTGAAAAATAATAAAAATAATACTTGGTTATTGAATTTCTGATGCTTTTGAAATAGAGAAGTCATAAGCTCCCATTACAGCAAACTGGGTATTTCAGCCCAGCGTGATGTACTGAGAATTTTTGGTGGAGGCTCTGGCAAGGGGAGCTGAATTCTTATTTTGTTTGAGCAATATAAGGCATCCATGATTCCTCATTTAATAACATTAATTTCATGTTTTCTTAGTTATGATATTCTACAGAGAATATCTGTAGAATTGGATGGGATTTTAACTCAATATAATTAAAGATTTTGGAAAAAAATAATCGGCTAAATAAATTTAATAATTGAGAAAATTATGAAGTAGATTAACACTAAGAAGATTAGTTCTCTTTCATTTTTCATTGGAAGAAATTTTATAATTGTAAGAATTTCAGGTGAAAAAGGCCTCGTACTTTGTCTCTTCATCCTTGTAAAACTCCAACATAAATAATCCACTTCTGCTACTAGGAAACAGAGGTTGAAACAGTGAGTCTTTTATCAATAGTAACATGAATTGACCTGAACTTTGGTCTCCCTGGTCCAACTGCATACTTAAACCAAGGTGCAAATTTCCCTCGTGTTGTATTTACATATGCCTTCACATATGGCTCTCTTGTGAAACTATGGTTCTAAAGTTTGACAAGATAGATTTTAATTTGAAAGGGAAAGAAATTGTATGAGAGGCATGGAAAAGTATGAAACAATCAGCAGCATATTAATAAGTCAAATGTAGCCTGAAGAAGTCGAATGGACCAACTACATGAATTCATCTTAGCTATAATGTATTATTATCATCTTGTCTAAACGTAGTCTTTGGCATTTCTCTAATCCAAGGACAAGTATTAACTCTTAAGTACCACCTTTTTGGTACTTAAGCCTACTTCTTACACTACTTTTAAAAAAGTCTAAATGATACCTTCGCGTCTGATTAAAATACTATTCAGTATTTTAGGTTTGTACGGTAGGTTTGACATACAACCCCTACAACCTTAGTTTTTGTTCACTAACTTGATCTGGTGTATGTTTAGATTCTTTGTTAGCCAATTCTTGCAGAAATATGTTAGTATGTTTTCTTTTTTTGTGGTTTTAAAAGATTATTTTGCTGAAATATGCTTTAATGATATCTTAATTATAAAATAAAATGAGAGTAAAACATCATACACTACATATTATTAAAATTAACAGCATTAAATATTGGTTAAGTCTCTTGCTTCATGACTTGGTAAAGTCAGTTTGGATTTATTTATTGAATTTATCCATATCATAGTTGAGAAGACACTCGGAAGGTTACTACATCAATCAGAACCAAATACAGCATCCATTATCCAACAATTACTTATGCATGATCAAATTGATTCTTAACAATCATGTAAATAGATTTTTCTCCATGAATGTAATAGTAATAGATGAAACCTGGCATACATAGCACAATTATAGATGATGTCATCTCCTAAATCAGATATATTCTGAAAAACAGTTAATTGTGAAAAAGCCATTCTGATGAGGGGGGATTTCATTTGAAACTGCAGGCATCCCATCAAAAAGTAGTGCCTGTAGATCTCTTCCTCCCCTCCCCGCCACTTAACAGATTTGGAAGATTACTAGCAGGTTTTCCTGGGGCAACCATGCTGGCTTGATCAAAACTGGTTCAAAGAAATGGTTCTGTAAGGACCTTGGATTGAATTAATCAATTAAATTAATTCTTACTTCATACAAAGTGACAGTAACATTTCTATGAATGTTTTCTTTCAAGTATACATATTTGCATATGTAAAATTTCTGCACATTTGAAGCAATTAAGTTTGTTGGAGGGGGGAATTGAAATATATGTAATATTTCATTTTTAAAATCCATACCAGATAGACATTTACTTCATTACTTTATAAAATGTGTATAATATGGTTCACTGGTAGAAATAGATTTGTTGAAAACATTGAAACATAGCTTATTCAAGCAATAGAGTTGATAGTTTCCTTTAAAATTGTTTTAAGTTCTCTAATAAATGGAGCTAATAATGCTGAATATTAAGGAAAGTATGTCTCTTAACTCTTTGCAAGTCTACTTCTAATATTGAAATAAAAAGAAATATAACTATCAAAGTGAAGAAAGGCATTATTACATTCTAGGTCCGTGATGGCGAACTATGGCATGCGTGCCAGAGGTGGCATGCAGAGTCCTCTCTGTGGACACGCGCGTCGTCACCAGCTGCTCTTCTGGTTTCTGGTGCGCATTGCAAGCTGGTCTTCATGGGCACTGGAGCACCAGAAAACGGGCTGAAAACAGCCAAAAACCAGGCCATTTTTAGGCCTTTTTTTGGCCCATTTTCAGGCTGTTTTTGGCCTGGAAAATGGTCCGAAAACAACCTGGAAAACGGCCTAAAAACAGCCAAAAACAACCAAAAAACAGGAATGCATACGCCGGCCAGCTGGTCTTTGGGTTTCTGGTGCTCCGGTGCATGCACATGCATGCCCATTCCAATTTGGGCACTTGGTGCCGAAAAGGTTTGCCATCACTGTTCTAGGTTGTATTTTTCCCTTTATTAAATAGATACAGATAATCTTAATTGGACAATAAGGAAAAAAAGAATGGCAGCTATGGGCCAGAATATACATTCTGGAGTCAGACTTTTTAAAATCAGTTTCAATTTTTGAATCTAAAATCTCATCAAAAAGTTCCTCTTCCTTTTCCTTCTCTATTTCAGGAAACAATATTAATATAAATTGTAAGGATACAAGCAACAAAGTTATAGTCATACATGGAAGTTATAGTCATAAGTAGAAGGAGATGGGTGGTGGGAACGATGAGAAGATTAATAGTAGTGCAGACTGACAGTGTTGAGGGAATTATTTGTTTAGCAGAGTGATGGCGTTCGGGAAAAAACAGTTCTTGTGTCTAGTTGTTCTGGTGTGCAGTGTTCTTTTTGTTCTGGTGTGCAGTGTCATTTTGAGGGTAGGAGTTGAAACAGTTTATGTCCAGGATGTGAGGGGTCTGTAAATATTTTTACAGCCCTCTTTTTGACTCGTGCAGTATACAGGTCCTCAATGGAAGGCAGGTTGGTAGCCATTGTTTTTTCTGCAGTTCTAATTATCCTCTGAAGTCTGTGTCTGTCTTGTTGGGTTGCAGAACCAAATCAGACAGTTATAGAGGTGCAGATGATAGACTCAATAATTCCTCTGTAGAACTGTATCAGCAACTCCTTGAGCAGTTTGAGCTTTCTGAGTTGGTGCAGAAAGAACATTCTTTGTTGTGCTTTTCTGATATCATTTTTGATGTTGGGTGTCCATTTTAGATCTTGCGATATGGTAGAACCTAGAACATCTCTACTGTTGATACTATGTTGTCTAGTATTGTGAGAGGTTGAAGTACGGAAGAGTTTCTCCTAAAGTCTACCACCATTTCTGCGGTTTTGAGTGTGTTCAGTTGCTTGTTCCGGTCGTACCACAAGGCTAGTTGTTCAACCTCCCGTCTGTATGGGGATTTTGCATTTTCAGTTGGATGGAAAATAACACCATACTCCTCCCTGTCTCTACATCAGTGGGCTTTTTCTTGCAGATCTGCTCCATATTTTCTCTACCTTCTAATTGCCTTTCTTTCTCTCCTGGTATGATGCAATCATTTCTGTACCACACATCCATTTCCAGGAGAAATTGTGGGCAGAACATTCTTCCCCTCCTTTCTCCACTGGATCTCCAGTGTCCTGTCACATTTTCTGTGCCTCAGTTTGATTTGTTCTGTTTCCAAAACAGGTCTTCCAGTTGGCAAGGCTGAGTTCTTCCCATCATTTCACTCCCATTCTTCGTTTTGGAGATGAGCCTTAGTAAATGTGCCAGATAATTAATGGAAGCATCACATCTCCCAGTTTTAAGATAAACTAGATGTCAGGCCTGGAAGCCATCTTTTACTTTGGATCTTCAGGCCTGCCACATTTGGTGCTGTGGGAAACTGGGAGGGGGGATTTTATGGAGTAGGGGAGATATCTAGCTATAATACCATTCTTTTCTCTGAGAATCAAGGACCTTCTGCCCTATACCTGGAGTGGTGTGACTGGGAGGCATCTCCAGTTGGGATGGTGCATTGATTGGGCCATGTGATGGACATGTGGGTGAGGGGAAGGAACTTGGACTTTCCTTTGGGTGGGGAAAACCTGGAAGCTTTCAGATTCGGGTTTTCCCAGATGTGCCAATATGACATCGCTAATAAAATGGAACTTTGAGGAATTTCTAGCCTCGGAGTCTTCTTTCGTTGGTGGTGTTACTTGGAGCCCTGACACTAGAAAGCACAGATCCATCAACATTCTCATTTTATTAAGAATGTGAAGGTTTGAGAAACTGCTTGAAGTGGAATATCTCCTGTGCTTAAATTGATTTAGGTTTTTCTAGTAGCTAAAAATAGTTAATTGAATTATTGAAGTAAAAAGAGTGTGAAGTGTTGTATTCAACCCATTAAAGATTGGGTTGAAATTTGCTTTTTAAGAATATTAAATATTTGAAGACAACTCACTATTTTCATTAAGACTGTTTAGACTGGAGTTTATTTGGTTTCATCCAAATATACCTGGAGCACACAACTTTTGAGGAAGACTGAGTTAGTGTTTAGTCAAGTGGGGTAGAACGGGGTAGGAGCATTACATTGATGTAGGGGAACGTAAAAGATTAGTACATAAAAAACTAAATGCTGACTTTATAATTTCTTGATTTTTGTTCTTTCAATTGCTTGGCTTAGCCAATGACAATTCAGAACACCATGATTTTTAAACAAATGTTAATAAAAAAAGAGATGGGAGAATTAGAAGGGAGGGGGGGAAAGCCTGCCACAGATTTTTCTTTTCTTTCTACAACTCTGTCACCTCAGTTTTGCAAGTAAGGCAGTGATAGTTGGTAGACTCTATAAGGCTACTGTATTTACTCAAGTCTAATGTAAAAAGAATCAGTTTGACTTTCTTGGTCACCTGCAGATGGACTTAGTCTAGTCTATAATTGGGGAGACAAATGGCTGTTTATAATCTTGCATTGGGTTTGTATAACAATTTATCTAAACCTTATGGAAAAACCTTTAGTACTTATGGAAAGTAATGTATCAATATTAAGAAGCATGTGTAGTACCAACCTTACAATATTTGTTTACTTGAACAAAAAAAATCATTTTGAGAATCTCTTTTGCTCTGTGCATTAGTATCTATTCTTGAAAAATTCACTTTTTCTGCTTGGAATATCTAATATATTTTCTGTTTTCATGTTTTCTTTTTAACAGACAGATCCATGAAGTTCAATCATATATGGGCCGCCTAGAAACCTCAGACAAGGAGTCTGTCCATTGTGAGTAATTGGTGTATGAAAGCAACTTAATTGTTGGTTTAATCTAATGCCACAAGCATTTTGCTCTCTAATAATATCTGAGACTTTCTTTGTTGAATTCAACAAAGAAAAATAGATCAGAAAAACATGGTATAAGAAATTAACTATTAAACTTGTCAGTTTATTTAAAATGCCTCAATAGACTTTAAAATCTGCATCAGTTGTGACGCCATGTCATTTGGATCACATGTATTATAATATCATTGGATTATTCATCCAATACCTGATAACTCCTTTTATCTGAGCTATACAAGTTGAGATATTCATTTTGATTAAACAGGATGTTTAGTTAGAAAGAAAATATTGTGCATCTTAAAGCAGCAAAAGAACTTCTTTTTATTTGCTCCCTCTGTAGTGGTAGAAAATGAAATTCAGGCACGAATAGACAGAATTTTTAGCAATCTAGACCGGCTGGAAATCTTCTGCAACAAGGAACCTCCAAACAAGCGGCAAAATGCCAAGCTGTGAGTGATTGTTCTTCTTGATGTTATCTTAACACAATTTAATTTACTGATACACATCAAGGGATGTGATATTTTTATGCTGATATTATTAAATATCTCCCAAACCAAATGAAAAGTGAGGAGTAATAAATGCTCTGGTTCAGATAGATTTCTTTGGTTCTATAAAGTTATAGCTGCCATTGAGAAGGGCTTTTTGCAGTTATCATTGCCTTTTTTTTCCCTATGAGTGATTTCTCAGGAGATCTCCTGGACTGGATACTATAGGAATAGTAGGCCCAATTGGAAGTCTTGGTAGAAAGAGTATTGGAAAAATTTCCCATCTGAGGCATGAAGAGCTGCTTGTGAACTAAAATATAATATAATAGCAACTAAAGAGCTATTTTGCACATCTATATGTACAGTATGTGGCCAAAAGTATAATACTGTTAGAACACATGTTTTCTATAATTATGCGCAGTGTTTCAGTGAATAATAGCAGATTTGCTTTATAACACTCCTGCAGTCAGTCTTTTCCCATTAATTATTGTCTTATTTGGGGGGGGACCTATTGCCTCTTTTCAGCCGGGTTGACCAGTTGAAATATGACATTCAGCATCTGCAGACAGGATTGCGAAATTTCCAACATCGTCGCTATGCACGGGAGCAGCAAGAAAGACAACGTGAGGAGCTTCTGACTCGAACATTCACCACTAATGTAAGTCCTGCCCTTAAAACCAGAGAATTTAGGCTTAAGTTTGCTTGCTTTCTGATTTGTCCTCAAAATTTTGCAGCCACATTTTTTAAAAAATAGTTGTTGTTCACATAGTTTTTTTTCCCCCCCCAAAATTAAGTGAACAATGTGCTTGAAAATGCACTAGAGCTGCCTGGGGACTGAAGTGGAAAAGAATTTGGGAAGTTTGAATTTCATGGCCATAGCATATGGTTTACTCTGTAGAGGCTTTGGGTTAAGAATGTCGAGGAAAGATAATCAAAATGCTTCCATTTCCTTCCCTCCCCCTGCAGGATTCTGACACCACCATTCCAATTGATGAAACATTACAATTTAATGAATCCCTTCAAAATGCACACCGTGGCATGGATGATCTTATTGGCAGCGGAACCAGCATCCTACAGGGCCTGAGGGATCAGAGAGTGACATTAAAGGTGGGCATAGGGTGGGACCTTCACCTTTTTTGTTTATGGTGATCAGGTATCCACTATATTTGAAATTTGAATATCAGAAATTCATCAGAACAGTTCAAGTCCCCCAATTCAGTCATTTTGGCTTTGAATTACATGGAATTTAAATCTAGCTTTATTTTTGTTGTAGCTTTGCTCTCCAAGCTGGTTGCAGTACTTGCATCTTTGGGAGGTATTGGATGTTTTATTAATGTAATAATTCAATTTTTTTTGAAGATATCTAGTTAAAATAAGCACAACCATAGAAATAAGAGAATAGCAATAGCAATAGCACTTAGACTTATATACTGCTTCAAAGTGCTTTACATCCCTCTCTAAGCTGTTTACAGAGTCAGCATATTGCTCCCAACAATTTGGCTCCTCATTTTACCCTCCTCGGAAGGATGGAAAGCTGAGTCAACCTTGAGCCTGGTGAGATTTGAACTGCCAAATGGCAGGCAGCCAACAGCAGAAGTAGCCTGCAGTACGGCACTCTAACCACTGTACTGGTGCCACCCTGGCTCAATTTTGCCAGTCTGCTTCTAGAAGAAGTTCTTCTGACTTTCGTAACTTGGACTGTTTCACGTAGCAAGTACTTTGCATACAAGAGATCATGATTCTCCAGTTTGCCAGTTACAACTTTCCAGTGATGGCTGATGGAAAAGACTCATGAATCCATAGAGAGAGATGATTAATTGGATTCAGCAAGAAACTAGGCTAGATAGACAAACAGTCTTTTAAGCTGTGTGGCAACTTTCTTTAATAAAGTAATAGAGTTTAAAAAAAAGAAAAGAAACCCTATCTGATGGTTGGTCTCTTCCATTCTTAACTTCTGAAAGTGGATCCTCCATGCCAGTGGTACCCAAGGAGATTGCGTGCATGAAGTTTACTCCAGCTTTTTAGTCTTCCATTCTTCCTCTTCCTTGGTTCTTTTCCATTCTTCAGAGCTCCTGCTTATAATCATTGCTGGCTCTGGCCTCATTTCTCCAGTCATGCCTTGTGTATTTGATCTCCTCTACTTTTTCAGACTCTCTTCATATTTTCCTATGTGATCTACTTTGTTACTGTGTATTCTGCCACTATCAGCATGTTATATCCTTAGTACAAAGCCCTTGCTGTTTCTAAATTATGTAAACCCTTTCTCCTCACCTTACCCTCAAATGCCCCGTAGCTTCTTCTGCAGAGGTTAAACAAAAAAAATTAGACTGCTGAGTAGTCTTAACGCTGATGCAAAGAACAGTTCAGAACCTGATGCCTGTTTTTATTCTAACCCTACTTTGTTCTTGAGCTAATACTTGGAAGAGGCTGGGTTGGTCAAGGGATGTGGGCCTTGTGGATTTGGCAGTTTCTGATGTTTTGAAAGTAGAAATATTTTGCAATGCAACTGTTTTCTTAGACCTAAGTGGCCAATTCCAGAAATCTTTGAAATTGTGATAGATAAATAAAGTGCCTCCATTAAAGAAAAAAAACCTATTGATTGAATATTTACAAATAACTGGAAGATCCCTTTTTCTTAATATCATAGCAAACATACTCATTTTCTGTGCACCTATGCATTGGTGGACAAACAAGCTTCCAACTGGTTACTGTTCATTGTTTAATTTCATAGTGCTGCTTTGTAGTTAGATATGTGCATAGCATACCATTCTGGAGAAGTCTGCAACATTCCATTTTTCCTCTTGCCCGCACACAGACTGCCAAACTATCACTGTAATAGCTAGATCTGTGAGATCTGGAAGATGGCAGGAACATTCCAGACTTCTCCAGAACGTTCTGTACCTGGGACAGTGAGTTATACACATTCCAGTGGTGTTACTATTCTGATAACTGCAGGGATATTCCTCCTTGCTTTTAGGTGGTTCTTATTAGTTTCTACCTTATTATCTCGGTATGTTTTCAGCTTAAGCACCAGACCTTGATATATTCAGTATATACCAAGGTATTTACATATCTTTGGTTTTGGCCATTTTTTGCTACCTTCTATATGCACAAAATTGTGGATAGGATTCTACGACTGTAAAGTTTCATTATAGTTAGGTTGTCCATATAATGTATTTGCTCCTCCTGTAAATGTGGTGGGTCTATTTGGTCAGTCTAGCTGCATAATTCATGTGACTTCCTTGTGGTTGCTGGACTTATTTGGTGTGATTTGCTCAATTGGCAGTGGAGAAAATTCTATGTGTCATGTGGCTTATGCTAGGCTTCTCTGCTGTGCGCAGAGGAGGGAAGACTATCCGGACAGTAAGCATCCTATAGCCAGCGGAGCAAGCCCCAAGAAATCTGTAGGCAGCAATGGAATCCAGTGGTACATGAAATTGTGAAACAGCCATCTGGAAGACAGACACCGAGAGAGTCATGCGGCTCTCATGGGACACTAGCACTTTCACCAGCAGCCAAGCAACTTAGTCCAAAGAATAAAAAGGATAACTGCCACAAGGAAGTCACCTTTGAAGTAGGTGAACTGAGGAACAAATACATTGCTGAGATGATCTCTGTAGGAGAAAAGAGTAAGTGCTTGTGAGAGAAAGATAATGACCATAGGTTCAAGGTGGGCTCACCTTCCCACCCCATTTCAAGATCACATTATTATTTCGTTACTTGTAATTTCCTGGAACAGAAACTTTGCAAATAAAAGGATGATCTATATTGCCTTATGGCTGGGCAGACTTAACATGGGAAAATGTACAAAATATGGAGCTATTATTAAAAATGATTTCTTGGTTTCTGATTGCAGACTGAATATAGGGAAGTTATGTAGAACAGTCAGGGGTCAGGCTGTGTTTTCCAGCAAAATCAGCCCCTCTGCAGTGAATGAATCTTGATCCATAAGTACATTGCCATTTAACCTGATCTTAATTTGCAAGAGAGCTGATAATGCCATTTCAACTGTACACATTTTAAAACATTCTTCTATTGGATTGAGCAGTGATATGAGATAATTTTAAAAGCAGAATGGAAATATTAAATAAAAATAGAAATTATCATTATTCTTCTCCTCTCCCCTCCCCTCCCCTCCCCTCTCCTTCTATCCCTCCCAAATCATTTTTAAAATTTTAGGTGACTGTAGATGCTTACAGAAGACATAGGAATTATAAAGACTTTCTGAAGAGCAAAAGATTGTTGGTTGGAAATTGAGAGTGGGTGAGAAAAAAATGGATATGTAAAATAAAGTGGTTCACGTGTTGCTGTAAACTATGCATCCTGTTTCTGGAGAGGCCAAAGGCTCTGTAGGAAATATCTGAAGAGGTGTACCTTGAAAGTCAAAAATCCTCTCTGACAACTTTTTAAAAAACTAATATTGTCACCTTTTTTTTTTTTTTGTCACTTTCAGGGCACCCACAAGAAAATAATGGATGTTGCCAACATGCTCGGTTTATCTAATACAGTCATGCGTCTCATTGAGAAACGTGCCTTCCAGGATAAGTACTTCATGATTGGTGGCATGCTTGTGACATGCATAATCATGTTCCTTGTAGTGCAGTATCTTACTTGAAAGGCTGAAGAACACACTACCAGACTGGGTTGGACTTCTTTTCTACTCTGACTTCCAGCATAACTGTGAATCTCCTGGATTGGCTACAGCTGCCATGTGACTCATAAGATGCTCGAGTTGAGTGGCTTATATAGATTCTGCCGCTGGTGTGCAGGGATGCTTATCCACACAACACTCATCATTTTTCAGTCATTTAGCGAGTATGTTGCCCATATGACTCTCAGGCTTAGTTGATGAGGGCATGAGCTGTCTCCTTTAGTTCTCTTAATAATCCTGGTATAAATTATAAAGTCTCTCAACAAAGTGCCCATAAACAAAGTATTACTATTGGATCTATAGATTTTATAGTTCCTCAAGATCTAGATGTCTATAAACACTGTAATAACTAGTGAAAATGAAGCAGCTTGGCTTGAAGGACTTGTTGGCCTAACTTATTGCAGGTGTGGAACTTAGAGAGACTGTCTTGTTTCCAGCAATGATTAAAAAAAATAGAAATCCTCTTAGTCCATGTGCAATGGTAATGGTTTTTGATAATTATAGATTCTGTGTCTATCATTTATCTAGAGCAAACAGACTGTGAAGACTAGTTGAACTACAGTGTAGTAACTCACTTTCAAGTAAACAATGGATGTGTTAGGGACCATGATAATTTAGATACATCTGCTAATGCTCCCTGTAGCAGAATCCTGCTTTTAGTATTGGGAAAGAAGTGTGGAACTTGCTGCTTACCATACAAGAGAATAACAAACTTCCTTACAAAATGCATTTATATGTGTATTTTTTTAAAAAGTATACTTAGAATCACTGGTTCTAATGGTAGCCATTGTGCTAAGTGTGGCTAGTGTAGTGTCAACCACCACTACACTGGTTCACAGTGTAGCCATTGTGTTTGTCACAATAGAGTCATCTTTTAATCCTCCAGCTTTTGTGTATTCAGTTTCTTCTACTTTTCATGATTGCAAAATTTATTAGTTATTTCTGCAATTTTATGCTGCACGGTTCCAACAAAAGCTCGGAACTTTTTATACAGTGAGATGAATTTAGCCACTTTTAAGTCTAAAGTATATAATTCTTAATGGATTTGGGAGAGGGGGCTGGAGGGGTGTTGAAATCTTGTGCAGATCTCCTAAAAAACAGTTAAGTTCAAAACTTCCAGGTAAATGCATATAAACCAGTCTTTTGATATCACAGACCTATTGTTCTTTGTTCCAATTGGGCCAGTATTATTGTTCTATTTGAAAAACCTGATTGTGAGTAGATGAATAGCATAGATGTTATTCCATATTATAGCAAATTATGTGGGCTGTTCTATACTGTAAATCTCAAAGATTTCAAGAAATCCTTACAGCTGACATATCCTGTGTTGTGAATTTTCTGATTGCAAATGGTGCCTGGTTGTCCAATTAAGCTGGGCTAACTAAGGTATGTTATCAATACTTAATTGTCATTTTCTACATCCCCAAATTCATTAATACAACTATGCTGAAATAGACATCCAAGCATCATGTACAATTGCAGTCTAGCCATGTTCCTGATAACAATTTATTTGATTCTTGTTCTATTTTTACTGATAAGGATAATGTTTCAGTATATTTAAGCAGATTAAAAATACTTCCAAAACAGATGTGGAAAATATTCAACAGTAATTATAGTTTCATTCTGTATTTTTGCCCCTTCTGCTGTATTGACCTATTCCTTCAAATTAAAGTTCCTTTTTTCCTTTAAGGAGTCACATGCTTTGCCTTAGAGGAGGTATTTAATTGAAAAATGACTAGATGTTAATTAAGTTTATTGTCATGCTATATTGTACATTTTTAAAAAGGTAAAATACGAAGCAGGGGTTTACGTGGTGAAAGATTTTTTTTTAGGATGTATTTCTGGGTGGGAGGGATACTATGAGAACAAATTGTATTAGATATTAGAAAGCCCTTTAATCTTAATTTTCAAATTAATGTCTCTTCAGAAGCATTCAGTCTGCCTTACCAAGCCCTTAGTAATGGCAGGTATAATATAAGTAAACAGATTATTATAAACAGCCATAAATGGAGGTAACTGGAACTTTAAACCTAGATCCTTAAAATGAATTAGAGAGCTTGCACCTCTAGTAGAAGTATACATGAATAATGTAAATTGGAAAAAGTTTGAGAGCCTCCAAGTGTGTATACATATGTGGCAGAACATTGTATGTACCTCCAAATTTGTGAAATGTTGGAACAGTATGTTTGCTTGCATATTGCCTAAATCAGACATGAATTTGGGGCTGTTCCAGTAGCACAAAAGAAGCCAACATATCTCAAATCTATTTCAGAACCGTCCTTGCTGTTGACAGGGAATGCTGCATGAGATGTGGGTCTCACCAGCACTGGTAAGCACACTGAGTCAATGGAGTGTAGAGGTTAAGGGCTGTGCTGGCACTGGGCCGGCCTTAGACAAGAAGGCTGTTGTCCAGCTTCCCTGGAGGGAGGGAGGGAGGGAGTGCATTCCAGAGGAGCAAGAAAGAACACAGTTTAGAATGGTTTGTGTCAGAGAAAGAGGGTGAAGATGGCCTCTCCCTAATAATTCCTTGAGTACATATTTTAAGGTGCAAGCAGCTTGCTTTGGTTTGACAAGATTTTTATGTATAGGTGAGGAGCAATAAAGAAAACTGCTTAGAAGGATCTCAACTTGTCTTTCTTGCATTTTGGAGCCTGACAAAGGCTTATTCCATATCGAGAAGTTCTCAGTAGACCTATTTTACAGGGTTGTTGTGGGGAAAAACAGAAGAGGGTGCTATGTATGCTGTATTGAGCTACTAAATGAAAAGTGTGATTAGAAATTAAATGAATGAAGACATAAATAACGTAGTCTAGGCCTTCCATACCCAACAAAAGTTTGATTTAATGGATCTTTCTGGAAGAGAATAATCCCTGAATGTCAATTAAATCCCATTCAGATCAAGTTACCTTTTAAAAAATGTTTGTAATGATGTGCAAATTACATGGAAATTATTTCACCAAGGGAACAGAAATCAGTGTCAGGATCTGTCTGATGACAAAATAGAAGATTGCTACCTGGAATATAAATGGATTAAAGAGCATGAATTAATGAATGAAACTAAGGAAAGAAGGTAAATTGAATGGATAAACCGGAATGGAATCTCTACAGTGAACCTGGAGGAAGGTGACCTCCTCTTGTAAAGGGGAATTGAGAATACATGCAGGGAGTGTAGTTATGGGAGTTAGTTCATGGTCTTCTCTCTCATTCCTACCCATCCATTCATACCATCTAACAGACTAATTTTTTCCATGCATCACATTCACTCATAATGTTCTATAATGTTTCCCAAATCTCATCTATTTTTTTGTTTATTTATCACAGTTCACTGGAGTATAACATACAAATAACAGCAGCTGACAAATCCTACTTTTCATTGATATACTCAATAACCTAGATAACATCAATTCATTCTTTCTGATACAGTATACATTTTTATCTTTTCATCCACAATGGACTATATTTTCAACTTTTCAGAGACATAAACATGGCGTTTGCTGAGCATTTGTTTGGAAAAATAACCATTTAAGTTAAATACAAAGTTTAATAATTCTACTTAGACAGAGTAAAAGAAATGCAAGTTCAAAACCATGATTGATTTGATAATTTTATGATGAAAGAGAGAGAATTAAGGAATAAAAGAGTGGTGAGCAATTAGGGAGAAACACTTTTTTGATGGTGTTGAAAGTAGATTTTGGGGGAAATGAACCTGGAAAGTGGAAGTGAAAGACAAAGAGAACATTTGGGTCCTTTCTTAGAATATAATCAAATGGAAAATGGGTGTGAAAAAGGAGGATATGTACTTGGAACAGACTGAAAATTGATTCTCATGGAGTGCCAAGAAAGTGTGTAAAGGGAAGTATAAAAACAAGGATGAAATGAAAGACCAGATGAGAAAAATGTTCATGAGAAAATGTTGCTGTAAACAAGAATGAGAGAAAATGCTACCTATGTATACAGAAGAAAAGAATTGCAAAGAATTACGTCAAAGAACAGGGTCTGGTTAAGATTAAAAGATGGAAGAAAATACAGGATGAGTTGGATGGAAATTTTAAAAAAATGGGAAATAGTTTGAATAAGGTATCTAGTTAAGTGACTAAACTAAACTAAAATAATGAAATGTGGAGGAAACCAACAAGAGGAAAAGTGGGAGTATTTTAGAAATTATATGCGGTTGATACTATGTGAAAAACAAAAACAAAAAATACGTATAAATGACAATGCCCAAGGGAAGATAAGACCACATGAAATAAATGCTGTGAGAATGTTGAAAAATGATAAAGCTATTGGTGTAAATAACTGCAGAAATCTAAGGTGATTTGCTTATGGCTGTACAGCATACTTACTGTATCTTCTGAACAGTGCATCTGTATCCAATAATTGAAAGATCCTGTTTCCCTATAACAAGATGCAAGGAAGATTCATTTATTAAAAGTGCTTGGAAGATATTTGGCAAAAGTCTTCTGGAAAGGTACAAGAGGTAAATATTAGCAATATTTCAGAAGTGGAGTACAATTTGGAGTGGAGGGCTTAGTGAATAAAATGAGAGGGGAGAAAATAAAACATTAATGTGTGATATCCCCCTGTGTAATATATTTCACTGTGCAAATACTTTTGTATGTGAATAATGTTATGTTGGTGTAGAACTCAAATGTACAATAAACGTTAGATAAATTGTATAGTTCCATAAGGAATATGAGTCTGAAAATGAATAATTGAAGACCTACTTAATGTTTGGTAGGGAAATAGAGTGAATAATTGCAAATTATAAGTGGTTAAAAATGAGAGAAATAGATGAATATTTGCTAAAGATGGGGAAATAAATTAATTCATTTATTAATTTGATATAGCCACTCATCTTGCTACTGTGACTCTGGACAGAGTATAAAGTAAAGAATCTAGAAAACAATGCAAAGTCAACCAAGGAATAACTGCAAAAATCATTACAAATGATAAAACTATTAAAGCAATAATCAGCAAGAGAGCTCCATTCATTTTCTTAAAAAGCACAACCCCTTAGCAAGTTTTCTACCAACCTCTCTGGATCCATAGGCCAGATGACAAAGTCATGTCTTAAGGTTCTTCCTGAAGCCTAGTAAGGTCTGGGCCAATCTCACCTTGTGGGTTATGATGTTCCAAGCACTGTGATAGAACAGGGTCTCCTCTTTGGCCACATCAAATAACATTCTCTTGTGTGAGCAGGGGGTTGGAGTAGATGACCTCCAAGGTCCCTTCCAACTCTGTTACTGTTAGAATGATTTCCAAAGCTTGGGGCAGAAACAGTAGGATAGGTTGTAGGCTTACTTTTTCAGGGGTTTTACCTGAAGATAGTCTTAATAAATATACTCAATCTTTACTAAAATTATAGGATTTCAGTACTTCCTTAGATAACTCAGGAAATGTTGGAATCCTAATTTCTGGAACAAGGAAAGTTAACAAGTAAACCAAGTAGTGCCAAATGGTTAATTATTCCTGAAGTTAACTTGTGCCTCTAGTTTTCTAGTCCGTTGACATTAGGGAACCAACATTTATCCTGTAGTTTTATATTCATTCAGAGCACAAAAGAAGTGGACGTCCCACTCTTAATGGTAGTTAAACGCACTTGGAGATAATTAGGCACACTTTGATTTTGCTTCCTCTTTCAGTAGCTTACAAAGTCCTGATGTTATACTCAAAGACCGTCAAGTTCCCCGGTTTTATTTTATAAGCAAAGGTTGTCCTCTAGTGGTGATAGATACAAGTTGGCTCTCTAATTACTGTATGTAGATTGAGGGGTCCCCAGTGCTCTCTGAGCTTGCTTGTTTTCATTATCCTAACTAGGTAACATCAGTGCTAGTAAGGAGTGCTGCTTGCTGTCAGTTTATATTCTGGTGTCTTGCCTGTTTGTGTGGGTGGGGGCAGTCTTAGAGATTCTTTGGTTGGGCTGTTTATTGATGGCTCTTTGGCAGTTTCTTGATTGAGGTATTGCTTATTTGATGGTTGGTCTGAAGTTGACTTTGGAGTTAATCTATGATGATCTGAGTTCTGATTATTGATGGAGAGGTGCTGTAGTCTTTTTCTCTTTTGGGCTGGTTGATTGTCTCTTTTGCATAGTCTATACATGTTGTTAATGTCTGTGTCTCTATTGATGGCTGATTTGTCAGAGTGGCAGGCTTCTAGAAATTCCCCAGCATTTTTAGACTGGTCTAGAATTGTCACATTTTCCCAATTGAAACTATGATTAAATCTGTCTACATGTTGTGAAATTAAAGAATTTTCGTCTTCTAGGTTTGGGGGTCTTTTGGTTTGCTTAGGATGTTTTGAAGGACTTACTTGGCTTGTGTGCTACGCTGATTCCATCTGGTTGTAGTAGTCTGTTGGTGGTTTCTGAGATATTCTTGATGTATGGTAGTGTATTTCTTTTTAGGATTTATGTTGGTCGTGCTGTATTGGGTTGAGTGGACAGGAACATTTTGATAAAATTGAATGAGTTTCCATTTTGTTGGAATGTGTTGTGTAGATGCTCCATTTCCTTTTTCTGCTGTTCCGGGTTGCTGCAGTGTGTTTGGGCTCATTTAAACAAAATCCTACAGTTTCTCTTGTGGGATGTTGGGTTGTTGCTTTGGTAGTGGAGCATCTGTCTAATGGTATAACCCCAATAATATATCTTGCTAGCATCATTGCTATGGGGGAGCTGAAACTTATTTTAGCTG